TCTGCACTGAATCACGTGTACTTCATCTCATGAGAAGATATAAGAGGTAAATACATAGTCCATCACAAAAAGTCACTGGTAAATCTCAGCTGAAGTATTTCAACTTCTTTTAAATTAATATTAAGTTTAAATTAATTTGCTCTTTCATGTTCTACTTTCATTAATTTTCTTCTTACATACTGAACATTTGTAATGGTTTAATCTTTCTGTTTGGGCTTCAGTAATAACAGTATTTATCACTGCAGCATCCCACAAACCTCAAGGGCCATGAAGAAATCCCATGGAGCCCTAACTCCAGCAGTTTCTGATAGCATGTACTGAAGTCCATAACGTTGCTGTTTATTTAGGACAAAAGATCTCTTAGCTTATGAATGCTGCTTCACTGGTCAGCAGTTCTTAAGCAGATACACATTCATCTCAGAATATTTTTTCTATAATTCAATATCGTTGAACTGCATAATATGTCTCATACCCCAGGCTCTGAGCTACAGTTTAGGAATCTTTAACACAGCACTTGGTGTAAAGAATGGCCTCATTAGCTATTTTTTAACTATTTTAAAGCCAGTTGTCTTCAGCTGTGTTGAAAAAATGACAGTAGAAGTCAATTTGTTGTACTTGCTTTTGGTAAAAATCACAGTAGGCTTTTATGAGTGTTCTTCTCAGCTCTCCTTGTAAGCTGATTCATACATTAGGCAATGAAAAGAGTCATCCACACTTTATCCATTTCCCAGAACCTATCTCTGTTGTGCAATTTGGAAAGACAACTGTCTTTCTCACACATTCAAGTTGTTAGTTACATGACTACACAGCAATGATACCTGACTTACCAGCAGATTTAGTCTTACTAAAAGCTGCATAAAGTTAGCTGTAGCTAGAGGAAATCCCACACCTCTAGAGATTTTGCTTTGGCTTTTAAGGAGTATGTTATCATTTAAGGAGGCTCTTTGCAGTGGCATGTTTTTGTTATATTGCAGTGTGCACTTGTGCCTAGTTTTAATCAGATAACACGACTAGCAGAATTGCCCATCATACATACCAAGGTCAACTTTATCAGAAAAGACTTTTTCATACATCAACAACAAGTTAATTATAAATAAGTTATTCAGGTTTTTACTGATGGAATGCCTTTAATCTCTGCTGCTCATCAGGTAGAGCTCACCATTTACACCAAGACTACATGCATCATCAAATTCTTACAAACTGTGCTTTGGTATTAAAAGCAAAACTGTAACAATTATGGGATTAGTTAAAACACTCAAAAATTGGAAAATTAAATTTAAAAGAAGTTAAATTAGAAAAAATGCATCTCGGTTATAGAGAGATTATTGACTCCGACAACCCTCTTCAATGAATAATACGTTCAAGAGCCCAAAGCCCTGGAGACCCCATCTGCAGAGGTGAGACTAAGAAATGTGCTGCTCTGCACCTGCTGCTATACAGTGAGGCTCTGTGATAACACAGGTATGAGATAACTCACAGGTACGAGTTGCATCAGCAGCACCTGCTTTAATGCATTTTAGATGTTGGGCATCCCAGCAAAAAATGTTTTAGCTGAATTGTTCACATGCAAATATACCTCAGAGGAGGTTTGCAAGGACAGTACTTCAGAAAATGAGAAAAATGTTACTCATTATCAGGATAGTATCAAGATGAGAATTCATAGATTTTTAATGTCAGAGAACAAAAATAAATGGGCATTACATGTAAAAAACTTCACAGCTTTCTCCTCTGTGCTCCTTTTTGTGCTCAACCTGATTTGCCAGACCTGCCACGTGGCAGCCTCACAAACTCAGAGTTGGCCAGCAGAACTCCTCTCCTGCTCACCTTAAAACTGCTCGTCTTATGTAGCTTATATCAAATCGAGATTGAAGTGGTTTATTGACTTACTAACAAAGCTTACTTAACCAGTGCTCAGTGAACTCTGCATTCAGGATCAATATCCATAATATAAAAGGTAAATCACAATATTAAACAGTTATGAAATGTAAGTAAATGGAGATTTCTAAGTACCTTTCTATAATTTATCTCCAGAAGTTATAAATCACCCCGTCCATCCCACATGAGGGTTCTCTGTAGTGTCAGACTCTACAATGTGGCACTCCAGTATTTTGCTGATCTCTCTCCAGTATGTCTCTGTCTCTTTTGTACTGGACTCAGCACCCAGCTGTGTCTCACCAGCTGGGTAAGGACCACCTCCCTCGACCTGTTGGTAATGCTCTGCCTTTTGCAGTGTAGAAAGCTGGTGACCTTCTTTAAAGAGAGAACAAAGAAAAATATTAGTGATGTTTAAAAAGTTCTGGTGGAATTGGACCACAGTGTCATCAGCTAAGTGCTGCCCTTAAGCATCTATGAAGAAATACACAAGAATTTTCAGACTGTCTGCACTATAGCCTATACCACTATCTTTTAACTAGTATCATTTCCTGTATTAGTGAACCAAGGTTAGAGCAGGCTGGATTAAGTGCTACAGTTACATGCCTTGATTGCAGTTTTTGGAATTATTTCATGTTCTGACACATGATCCTTTCAGCCCAGTCTACTGTGTGACGGAAATGGCAGATGGGAGAACAAGAGGTAGTTACTTACTTATCTTCAGCATAAAATTCAAAAGATAGCATGGTAACATCCTTAGTTTGGTGCCTTAGTGATGACAGCTGTTTTACAAATCTGTAGTAGAAGAGAAATGGCGTAGATTCATGTTTTAGAATTGTAATGCCCTGTACCGTTTATGTCTCAGTATGAATGCTCTGGTCCCATCTGTAAGAGCTGAAATCAGAACCAATCTTCATCTGCAAACAGGTAATATTACTGAATAGTCTTGCTGAATAAACAACACGATCAACAAACACTTTACTTCTTTTGAGACTTTGAATTTAAAATCAAGAGGTTTGAAAATAGAAGTTGAAGCAGCTACTGGATAAAGTCTCAGCCACATTTCCCGAAGGGCATTTCTAAGAAATTTTATTTTCAGACCTGGTGAAAGGAGTGAATCAACTGATAAACCCCAGAACATTTCTCTCCTTCTTTCGAGTCCTTCATAACAAACACAGGATGCAATAAAAGCAGCATTCCCTGAAGAGGATCAGCCATCTATCTAACTGCATTTCCTTTCTCAAACAGAGATCAGTTACTATACAAGCAAGCACAAAAGACATTACAAAACAGTCTTCCCACAATAAAAGCTTCTTCCTAATTCTCTATAATTAGAATGACTTTTGAATGAGAAACAGCCTGTACAATTTGTGCAGCTCAGGGACTTCCTGCTCTAAGGAGCTATGAATTAACTTAGAGTGGGCTGCATCAAGCCTTTCCCCACAGAATTAATTGTGTCTCCTGGACATCCATGGGAGTTTTGTTATGTACTTATAGAATATCAGGGAAGAAGGAAACACTGTGATAACACTGTTTGATCTTTGTGTAACACAGATGGTAAGCCTGACTTCTGAATTTTCAGAACAAGACATATTGGTAGAACAAGACACACTCGTCTGGTATCTTACACTTTCACTTAGTTTTCTCATGCCCCTGATGGCTGCTGCACATGCCACACTCATCACAAATCCAAATGCTGGATGATATCAACTGACTAATCAGGAGTTGAATTTTTGTGAAGTTTGCTTCGAGGTTGTAGCCTTTGAAAAATCTGCTTTCTGTATTACATTACAGAGAATGGGAAGAAAACACATTCTTGCTTCTAAACAAGAGCTTTGGGTATTTATTAAAAGCAGTATTTTCACCTATTGACAAATATTCAAAGACAGTCTAAGCCTTCTAAACACATAAATACTTGATCAAATTAAATAATCCACAGCTAGCACATGCCTCCTTTCAGGTAGTATGTTGAATTAATAACAAATGTAAATAACGTTTGTGATTACATTGCTGAAGAAATGAAATGAGAAGTTTGTGATTTTTGACCTAATCTTTTACAAGATTATGATCACTTTTTTTTACATCTGGCTAACTTACTGGAATACTTCCTGATTTTAACAGGAGATAGAGAAATTAGTAACTTATTAACTTTTACAATTTCTATTTCTTCTGGTATCCACTGGTGACTTTACTTAAGTGCAAAATCTGCTTAGCTGCACAAATAAGCTAAGAGAATCAAAACACAAGAAGGCATTGTTCAAAGTAAGTTTGTAAATGAACTCACTGCTGCAAAAGAGAGTGCTGTATTTCTGCTGTATTATCTCCTCTAACTTCTGCAGCAATTGCAGAGGGTGCTCAAAGTTACAGCACGCAGTTCATGACTACTTTACACTTGGCTGCAGATCTTTGATCACAGAATCACAGAATCACAGAATGGCCAGGGTTGGAAGGGACATCAAGGATCATCAAGCTCCAAACCCCTGCCACATGCAGGGCCACCATCCTCCCCATTTAATACTAGACCAGGCTGCCCAGGGCCCCATCCAACTTGGTCTTGAACACCTCTAGGGACAGGGCATCCACAACCTCTCTGGGCAGCCTGTTCCAGTACCTCACCATTCTCTCTGTAAAGAACTTCCCCCTGACATCCAACCTAAATCTTCCCTCCCTCAACTTAAAACCATTTCCCCTTGTCCTGTTACCAACCCTTTCAAAGAGTTGATTCCCCTCCTGTTTGTAGGCTCCCTTTAGGTATTGAAAGGCTGCAGTGTGGTCACCCTGCAGCCTTCTTTTCTCCCAGAAAAGCCCAGCTCAGCCCAGCTCCCTCAGCCTGTCTTCACAGGGGAGGTGCTCCAGTCCCCTGATCATCTTTGTGGCTCTCTTCTGGACCCTCTCCAGCAGCTCCCTGTCTTTTCTGTACTGGGGGCTCCACACTTGGACACAGTACTCCAGATGGGGCCTCGCAAGAGCAGAGTAGAGGGGGACAATCAACTCCCTGTCCCTGTTGGCCACCCCTCTTTTGATGGAGCCCATGATACCATTTGCCTTCTGAGCCTCAAGAGCACACTGCTGGCTCATGTTAAGCTTTTCATCCATCAAGTCACCCAGGTCCTTCCCTGCAGGGCTGCTCTCAAGGACTGCTCCTTCCAGTCTGTATGGATGCCTGGGATTCCTCCGGCCCAAGTGCAAATCTCTCCACTTTACCATGTTGAACCTCATCAGGTTCACCCTGGCCCACCTTTCCAGTCTCTCGAGGTCCCTCTGAATGGCATCCATTCCTTCTACTGTGTCAACCACACCACTCAGCTTGGTGTCGTCAGCTTAATACTTCTCACCTATCATCTCCTGATATCCACCATGTATATATCTGGTAACTATTTACTTCAGATTTTCCTAATGTATTTAACTTTGTTTTTTTGTTTTGTTTTGTTTTTTTTTCAAATACAAGTCCTATAGGTCTTCAAAATTCAAAACACCATGGCAATTTCAGCTAAAAGATTTTATTACTATACATTAGCAAGGACATAAGATTCATAGACAAGTGTTTGTAACACTATTTTACTTTGATGGACCCATTATTTTCTCTCTCATCAACCAAGTTCTGGGGGTATGTTTCTGGTGCCCTCAGAGCCTTTTGCTTACACCAGCTATATCATTCTATACAAGTACGTAGAGCTCCAGATGGAAAAGCAATACATTATGTGTTGCATGATAAAAAAACAGATTCTTAATACCACATTTCTGAAGTAGTCTATTTGCTATACAAGGCTAAATAACTTAAAAGTCAAAACCAAAAGTCATCTCCTCCACTGCTCCTTGTGCTCGCTCGCTCTCTGCTTTTCAGTCGTAACATATCCATGACACTGCGTGCATATATGTCTCGCAAATTAACATTGATATTTGAGTCACTGGATGAGTTCTTTATGAGTCTCTTTAAAGCTTCACGCTGCCGAAGAGCAGCTTCTTTTATCTTCAGTGTAAAGTAACAGGCAGAAAACCGGTCATTTATGATAGCTATTGGCAAAGCCAAAACTAGTATTCCTGACAGTATACACATGAAGGCCACTACCTTACCAGCAGTTGTATCTGGTCTAATGTCACCATAACCAACAGTTGTCATGGATGTTGTTGCCCACCACCAAGCACCAGGTACGCTTGTGAATGTTGTGCCTGGCACACCTTGCTCAACAAAATACTCCACTGTGGAAAATATAGAGATTCCTACAGAAAGGAAAAGTAGCAGCAGGCCAACCTCCTCGTAGCACTGTGCAATTGTCATTCCAAGGGACCGCAACCCTGAAAAACAAGAAATGCTGTCAGTAAGTTGATTTGTGTAGCTTCCTTCAGAGATCCATGAAACATACCGTATTTGAAAGCTGATCGTTTTATGCCTTTGTTTTGGCTGTTAATGAACATGGCTTATGAAAAAGGGCTGCAGTTCCTACAAGCAAAACTACTGCGAAAATGTGATTTAAAAAGAAACAGATTAAGATATTAGACTAAAACACTGACATCATCTCATTTTCCTTTATACAGAGCATATAAATTCTTCTTACTGCTTATCATTTGAACTACATACAACATATGATTTAGAAAAACTAACCAATCTTGATTTAGTAATTGGCCATAATGGAGAGTCTACCACAATTTTTATTAAGTTACCTAAATAGCCATTTAAAACTACTAAAAACATCTGCTTCCTACTTTCAGTTGGAATGTGCTTGTTTTCCAGCCATTATCATATTTTTGTCTTGGACCAAAGAGCACCCTGTTGTCAAATTCACGTTCCCAGGTGGGTACTTCGAGCCTAATTCTGTCACACAGTACCTTTTCTTTGCTAAGCACTGTTTACAATCCTTTTATAGTTCTCATCACCTCCCTCTGACCCTTCTTCCCAACATCTTTATCTAGAGAGATCAAAACAAATACAGTAGTCCAGGAGCAGCTGTGCTTGTGCCAAAACTGGAGATAGCAAAGCTTCCCAAAGCAAACAAGAATTCTCCTGCTAATTCACCAATGCCCATGAGTCGAACAGGGAATTTATGTGCAGCAGATTGCTCTCCATAATGCCCCACATTCCTTTTAGAGCTGCTGCCTCAAGGCTAGGCTGCCTGACAAAGCAAGCAGGAAAGTAAATCCAATAACATTGCAATGGATAAATGTTGCTCATAAACAAAAGAAGATAACAGGGTATCAAACAGGTTGAAAAACATGGGAGACTGAAATTATCTTTTGAATCACAACTGATTTTGGATTGTTAATGTTCTTCTTAAAAACATGCTATATGTTTTCCTGAACAAGTGGGAAAAAAAAACCCACAATGCTTATCAACTTCTTTTCATAAGAGTACAGTTCTGACTAGAACATTTGCATAGAAGCTTGCTGCTTCTGCTTGCAGACTTCATATGCTCATTGAAGTAACAAATAATTTGATTTGCTTTCCTTCCACAATCTCAAAATAAAATAAGTCAAAATTTCTTTTTCCTTTTGGTCTGTTTCTTTTTCCCTTTAGATCTAACGAGTTTTAAAGTTTTCCTTTATGTTCAGCAAACAGTGGAAGAACAGACTATTTTGTAGGGCATGTTTCCTGTTTCAAAGTTGTCTTCTGCTAGCTACAGTTAAGGATTTGCCCCTATCCAGATTTTATATTGCTGTAAAGATAGTCTGTTGGTCAGAATGTTTATTGTAATGATACAGGTTAATTATGTAACAGAAAAAGGGAATAAGATACATCAGACTAATCTTTTTTTCTATTAAGGAGACTTTCTCCAGATTCTGAAAATACACTAAGATAGAAGTGCAAAGGGAAGGGACAATTGTGAGGACACAGATCAAGCTCTCATCTTCCAAGGAAGTTATTCTACTCAAATGCCATGTAAAATTTCATACTGAACAAGGTAGAAGAATAAATTCTTTCAGGTGACCTAGGAAGAAGGTAAACCAATTTAAAAGTCTGTGAAGTAAAGACTGTAAAATCCAGGTTTGCCCTTTACAAGGGAGCCCAAGAATATTGGTTTAAAAAAACATGACAAAACAACAAAACAACAGAACAACTTTCTTAAATCAGGTTGAAATAAGCAGGAACAAGGCTGTGATTGCTAACTATTTGCATCACATTGATTACATCTTCAGCAAAAATATTTTTTTAAAGGGTTAATTATTCTTACTATTAAGGAGCCTGATATGTTCTTTTAAAATTATTCTAAGTCCTAGTATCCTCATATAAAGCAATGATGCTGAAAAAACTGAAAAGTATAAAAATGATTCAGTATCTGGGAAAAAAAACAACAGAACTTAAGCTGCCTTGGTTATCAAAACCAGGTATTAGAGAATTATCTTAATTATCGTGAAGGAAAATAATAACTAACGTACTCTTTAACTTGTTAAGATCAGAGCAAAAAAAAGAGAAAAAAAAAATAGAAAAATAAAGAAACAATGCTTGACCTTCATTTTTAAAAAATCAAAGTAAATATTTGCAGTGATGGTGCTTGATCAGTGAAGTGGTGGTTCTGCATCACTTCACGCCTTCAGAAGAAGTCAGGAGATGTTTTCAGATGCAACTATGAACCAGACAACTTACTGGACTCCACAGTTCATTCCAAATGGGATTCAGTTGGTGTATTCAGAAGGATTATGTATTCTGCTTTACTTTAACTTTTAAAAATGACTTATCCAGCCCTAACATATAGCCAAAGTAGAGCAGACACTTCAGCAAGTCTTATGAGAGTTATGAGAGCTCCTTGCCAGGAGCTGTAACAGCTTGGTTACTCATGTTGGAAAGTGCTAAGCTGCTACAACAGCCAGTATGGTTGGGGCAAGCAAACAGCTCCAGCCTTGGAACCAGCAGCAGAAAGGAGAAGCACTTCTGCCATATATCGCAAGTTCCACCTCTGTTGCCCAAAGGAACTTGATAATGCAAGCTGAAAATCAGGAGACTCAGTTAACACGCAGCATTTAAATCATCTTGAATTTTTGGCACTGAATTCTGAATATGCTGAAGTTTTGCTTTCTCATGAATCCAGAAACATCTCGCCATCACATATGCTACAAACTTCTCTCTAATGTGCTCATTGCCATCAGATGCTCACATCCTGCTTCTCAAGGAGTAAATTTCTAAGTGCTTCCTATAGGAGGACCAGCAAAGCCTCAGACAAGACATGGTCCCAGAAGGAAGCCAACGGCTGAGGAGCATCAGAAAATGTGAAAAACGCAGGTTCTTACTCGTTCCTAATCCACTCAAATCTGTAACTTCAGTATCTTAGAAGTCATCTCATCCTCTAGCTATACATCTACTGGTAGAAGTACTACTAATTGATCAGTTTTCTTTGACAAGGTACAGCACTTTGCATAATTTAACACTCACTCTGGTATGGCCCAGTTGTTTCTCTGCATTACATCCATCTCCTGATAACTGAGTTTGGCTTACAAAGAATTTTTCTTTCCCTTTTTCTTTCCCCTCCCCACAAAAAGGTCTAATCTGCTATTTCTTCAAAAACAGAGGAAAGAAGAATGGACTCAGAATTTTTCCTAACTAATTTCTGCCTCTGATAGCAGAACCATGCTGCCACTGGGATCTCAGCTTTTCTATGGGTCTGCACGGTGACTCGTGACTGTGACCATCCTGCCTTGGTGACAGAGGAGTTGCTCCTGGCAGCCACAGATTTTTACATCTCTTTTCGTCTGATCCTGCACTCCTTTTGCCACACAAAACAGGCTAGCAGTGTATGAAATTTCAACTGATCTGAGAGTGCAAGAGTCACAGAACCCTTACTGGGAGGCAGTTTTAAGCTCCTAATTCAAGACAGAAGTATTTGAGTGCCACTTCTACACTCAGATTTATTGGGACTGCCTAGGTATGTGTGAGGATGGTGTCTGTGTACTGTACTTACAATGTTTATCTTCTATTGGCTACTATGGTCACAAGTGTGTTCAGAACCGTGTTAGCACAACTCTCTTCCACTACAATCCTCTACTGGTCAAAAATTATGCTTCAGATCAGCTAATCTATTTTTTGTCTTGATTTATTAGAGCTTTGTTTTGCCTTAGCAACCACATCTCTTCTGACAGAAAATCAAATTCATGACCTTCTACGTTCAAATTATACAGAAAAGAGCCAAAGCTGATTTACTGTTCTGCAACTAAGTAACTAGTAATTCCAAACTACCAGAGGCAAGCACAGTGGCAGTAATGCTGATCTGAATGGCTTAAATAGTGATGTATGTCAATTTTTGTATGCTGAAATTGGTATTTCAACTGCAGAAGAGAGATGGCAGCTCACTTTCAGAGTAGAAGACTGTATTTAAATAGAATTAATTCCTTTCTTCTACCAAACATGGCAAATGAATTATTAAACTCTTAACATTAGTAACACAATATTGTGAAATAAACTATAATAATATTTTAATGGATTTAACTTTAAAAATAAATAGGCACAAAAGTTTAGATCATGGGTGTCCAACCTTTTGGCTTGCCTAGGAGTGAAAAGCCATTGTCTTGAGCTACATACAAAATATATAATACAGTTAACATACATAAGCAAAAAAGCTTCTTTAAATTTGCTTTTTATTGAAACAAAAAAACAACAAAACAACAACAGAAAAAGAAGGAAACAAAAACATAAAACCAATGGGTTGGACACTTATGGTTTAGACCACCTCTGCAAGCACTGAAGTACTGAATACAGCTAAAGTTAATGGTTACTACACAGGCATCTGAAACTTACTTTATAGCTGACAGCCTCAGAACTGAGTTTCGTGCATTCATTCTGTAGCAGTAAAGTATACTGAAATGGAAACTTTGGAAAGTTTCTAACTAGAATTAACATACTTTTGGATCATAATCTTGTCATTTAGCACATAATTGCCTTAGTGTGCTAAAATCTTATTCTTAGAACAAGGGAGGAACACATTCACAGTCATGTACTTGGAAGTGGGCAGTAGGGCAGCATAGAACAAAAACCGTAAAAATTATACTGAAGCACAGCAAACTCAGTGACAGACTGAAGCACCAGCAGCTTCCCCTCAACTGCTTTCCAAGGGACAGGCATAATCTGAAACCACTATTATGCTGCTCACCAGTAATAAAGCTACTCACTGCTACTAGTATGAAGATTCACTGCTCTTCAGTGGGAAAAATCAAAGACATCCTGCTGCTAAAATGCCCACTGAAATAGGGCCAGTTCACAAAGAGGGTAGGGAAGATTAGCTCCAAAAAATGAAGCAAATCATTACTGCTTCAAGGCAGGAAATTCTGGAAGGACTGCATCAGGAGTGGTTGGACACAAAGGGCACCACATTAGAATGCTGGCTGAACCTGACATTGCCACTCTGTGCTGAACCTAATGCCAATTCAGTGCTCCAGCTGTGTTCAACATATCATACAGATTCCAACATGTTCGACACGGTCAGGGAGCCCATCAAACCACTGCCCAGTATGATTCACTTCAAACAGTTTTATTGAACCATTCTATATCCAACAGGTTTTCAGGATGTGCGAAGTGGGCAAAATCATGATCCATTTATTTGCATAAACTTTTGAAGTGCAACGAATGATGACAGATAATTATAAACTGTCACCAGTGAGCCTCTGATAATATAAAAGCATGGGTCACTTCTGTTTCTTCCCTTGCTTCGTTACTAACTAACTGAAATAAAAATGTTTGCAAGTTTGTGACATTGTGGACTGGTGAAGGGCTTGTAGCATGCAGCTTTGTGGCCTGCTTTTGTAAATGTTCTATGCAAACAAATTGCAGTGGCTTTATGAAGAACTAAAATTTATTGAAGAAATCTCCTGACACTGCTATCAATGTCCACAAATAAGGGTTTCACAAGCCATCACAGCTAACGTTACACTGTATATAAACGCACACAAAATGGGGATGGTTTGTTGGTAGCAAAAGTAAGAACTAACACTGCCATGGCTGAAGTACCTGTTGAATGTCTTCCCAGCTTCAACATCCGCAGCGCTCTGAGCAGCCTCAGCACTTGGACAATGCGCCCCACATTCTCCAGTTCTTGGGAGCTCTCCCCACCACACAGACTCTCTACCAGCAGTGTAATGTAGAAAGGTAAAATAGCAAGGAGGTCTATGATGTTTGCCACATTCCTCAGAAAGCGACACCGATCCCGTGTACACAGGAACCTCAGAACAAACTCCACAGTGAACCATGTAATGCACAGGTACTCAAGGGCATCCAGTAGTGGTGGTGCCAGCCAGCTTAGCTCTACTGAAATCAAAGCCATGTTGGCAATGGACACAACAACAAAAGCCATGGATAAAGTGCCAAAAGTCCTGGCTGCTGCAGAGGAACCAGGCTTTTCCAAAACTTCCCAAAGTTTTTGTCTGACACTGGGACAGAGGCTACCAGAAAAGTCCTCTTCCTCATCTTGAGCATCCAGTTCTTCAGCATCTTTCTTGATGTCTAAGGCTTCACTCAGCTCCTTCCTCCTGAAGTACCTGCCCAGGAATCCCCCAACAAAAAGATTTTTAATACCAATATGCTTATGCTTTTCTCATCCTCTACCATGAGAGGCATAAGAACACACATAAACGTATACCTCATTGGAAATTAGAAAACCCTGATGTCAAGTGTGCTGTGAAGGTCAAGTGTGTTGTGACTAACTGAGGCCCTACAGCATGTTTCCTACTTACCCGTGTCACAGCAGTGAGACAGTTTGTATGTGCATGGTAATTTTATTCAGGTAGTGTGCTACTTATGTGGATCATGTTGACTACAGTAGGATTAGTTCCATGACTAACATGTATTCTTATAAGCAATCCAGACCTTCTGTTTCTCCATTATCCTCAATTTTATTGCAGTTTTATTAATTATATTGCAGTTTTATTACATTGGTGTGTATCTGTAGCGCTAGAAGGGAAGACATAATGAAAGCTGTGCATTTCATGTATGAAGTTCTGATCAACACGTGCTCAGATTACTCATGTTATCTTACTTTAAACATATGGGCTGTCACACAACAAAGCATCTTTGCTGACTGAAATTGATTGTAAATGCACAGTCGAGCATTTTGCTAGAGTGTACTTACAGAACTATTTCATGAAACAACATTCCCAAATTATATTGTAAAAATTATTTTGCTTTATATCTGTATTTCCTGACAGCTGTAGTTACCAAGACTTAAATTAAGGGGCTATGCAATTTTGCCTTCATTTGATGCACGGTTACTTCTGCATATGCCCAAGAGGTCTGTTAGGTTCTTGTGCCACCAAGGAATTAGGATCTGTCAGTTTTATCTACTAGTGAATGAAGAATGGGATGAAAACTAGGATATCACTGTCTCAGATGCAGAACTGAATCATTTAAGGATAGGATAACCGAAGCTCTTTTTTGGAAGGGGGGGAGGGGTGAGGGAGGATGAATGTGCTTGATTATTTCTAATAATTTTGACATAACCAGTTTGACCAACAGCAGTTGTACTTACTCTTTATACTACAGACAAACCAGTAATGCTAATATGGGGGATAAAGTAGGTGCAAATAGAATTAACAGAAAAATCCTGTGGGTGGTTCAGTCAAAATCCACCTTGTTCCTAAACTTCCTGTCACAATTTGTCTCCAACAAGCCACGCTCCTGCTGCTGCCCACTCCCTGTAAGCTGCTACATCTGTGTTCTATGCTTCTCCTCAAGACTGCTCCTGCAGCTGCGTGACCCAGTCTCAGTACAGCAGTGACCACTCCCACCTTCTGACTCTCCTGTTTGGAATTGTGCAGAAAGTACTGGGCAGCGAGGCTCCAAACTCTCCCGACTCATGACTACACACGTGATCCCCCTTGGCTAAAATGAAGCCTCAATCTGAATGACACTGAAAGTGTATCTCTGCTTTCACAGCCCATCCTATCTCCAGCGCTGCCACTTTCCACTTTGAACTTCCAGGATCAGTCTGATACTAGTGCAGAAAAATCCAGATTCTGCTCATGCCAGGCTCTCACTATCTTGCCCCCACTGCTAACCTGTCCCTCACAGCAAAGGTAAGCAGCGATCTCACTCAACTTACCTCTTTGTCCCATCTCCTGCTTCCACCTACCTCCAGAGTAGGATTCACTGCTGGATTTACCCAGCTTTGAGGATATTTTTCTGTGCTACCTTCTCTGCCCTACTGCTGGATCTCTCACCTGACTGTCCCTGAACATCAGCCAGTGCTGAGCTCACTCAGCCCATGCTCCTGCTCTGTGTTTTTTCCCACAGCTCACCGATCTCTGCAGCAGGAGTCGATGCTGAGCTCATCCAAGCCCCAGTACTGGATCTCCTGCAGGAAGGAGAGTGCACACAGCTGCTCCATCACATGCAGCCTCCCTGTCTGGTAGTAGTTCAGGATGTAGTGAAATGCCTGTGAGCTCCGGTCAAAGAAATACTCATTCTCCACCAGGTTAGCATCATCACAGAGCTCAAGGAGGCCAGAGGCGACATCCCGGGCAGCAGAGACCACCACGGCCAGTTTGCCAAGACGAGTGTCGGGGTAGCAAGACAAAGTTTGCTGGGACATCACAAAGCGGCTGCCTCCCACATTGATTGTAAAGCAGTCCAAGGAAGGAACAACCTTCTGCAGCAGGGGCCCCTGCTCCTCCTCGCTGGAGAAAACACTGCAGTCCAGGGAGCCCAGCGATGTGCTATTGCCTTGTTCCTCCAGGGACGCTTGGGAATTAAGAGACATGCAGCAGGGAGGCGACTTCATCCTGTAGCTGCCAGCAGCAGCCCACACTCTCCTGGATGGAAAACACAACAAAGCTGCAGAGATTCCTGGTGGCGGCAGTGGGGCCAACCTAAAGATGAGGTACCTTCTGATGCTATGGCTCCTGTCCCCGGGGCTCCTCACCATCCCCACTTCCTCCAGATGGTGCCTCCGTCTGATACAGAGGCCAAACGTACTGCTGGGCTCTGGTACCAGAGACGCCTGACGTCCGTGAGGCAGCCTCGCTGCGCGCTGTCTGGGGGAAACGCCAAGCACCGTCTACCAGCGACAACCCACGCGGCCCCTTCGGCTTCGCGGTCATCCCCGATCTCTCAATCAAGTGTCCCGAGAGCCGAGCCCGAAGGAACCAGCACGGCACGACACCAACATCGCCTTCAGCGGGTTGCGCGAGGAGAGCGGGGACGCCCGGCGACCCGCCCCGTGTTCGGCCTCGCCCGAAGCCTCTGCCCTCCCTCCGGCCCCACGGCTCGGTCCGCCCGCTCTCTCTGCACCCTCACAGACGTATCCCGGCTTCCGAGGCAGCCCCCTGCGCCCGCACTTCGCCGCAGCCGAAGTTGCCGGCCCGCCCGACCAGCCCCGCCCCGTCCTGCCGCGGGAGCCTCGCCCCAGCCCGGAGCAGCCGCCGCGCACCGTCCGTCAGCCCGTCAGCCCGCCCGGCCGCGCTCCGCTGCCTAGCTCTGCTCCGCTCCTCTCCGCGCCGCGCCTCACCTGCCCACCCGCCCCGCTGTGCCGCCCGCGGCTGGGCGCCTGCTGCCGCCGTCCCCTCCGCTCGCTCCACCGGCTCCAAACTTCTGGGCAGCGCCGGCGCGCCTCCATGGCGGGTCATGTGCCGCGGGGGGCAGGCGGGAGTGGCGGGGCTGCGCGGCACGGGGCGGGCTGGGCCGGGCCGCCGCCCTCCACGCCGCGGGGCCGAGCGTTCGCCGTCCCGGCCGTGCGCCGTGTCGAAGGCTGGGTCGCGGCTCGGCGGGAGGTGCCGAGCGGAACTCGCTGTCTCCTGGCCGGGGCTGCTCGTTTCGAGGGGTTTTCAGACCCTCCAACTTCTCCGAGTGAGCTCGCAGGACGATTTGAATTCCACTCGCTCCCTGCTAATATACGTAACACCAAATGTGCTTCCGAGTAGGTGGTCTTCATTAACACTGCTATCACGACCGCAGATCAGATCTAAAAAGTGTCAAGCAAACAGTCGTCGTAATGGCCTGGCAGTGCACACTGGAGGGCCTGTCTTAAACTAAGTCCTCTCAGCGTTTTTTTCTAAAGTATTTTGGGATATGTCTGATGCTGTCCTGTGTTGATCTTTGAGCACCACTGTATTGTGTGGTGAGAATTAATAGTCACCTTTTTCACCCTTCTCTCCTTCCTTGTAGGAAACCATACGGAACCATACAGAATCATAGGGGTTGGAAGGGACCTGAATGGATCATCGAATCCATCGCCCCTGCTAAAGCAGGTACCCTGCAATAGGTCACGCAGATAGGCATCCAGACGGGTCTTGAATATCTCCATAGAAGGAAAATCCACAACCTCTCTGGGCAATCTGTTCCAGTGCTCTATCATCCTCACCGTACAGAAGTTCTTATGCATATTAGTACGGAACTTCTTATGTTCAAATTTTAGGCCATTGATCCTTGTCCTGTTGCTATGTGCCACTGAGAAGAGCCTGGCCTCATCCATTTGCCTCCCACCTCCCTTTAAATATTTGTAAACATTAATCAGATTCCCTCTAAATCTTCTTTTCCCCAGGCCAAACAGATCCACGTTGCTCAGCCTTTCCTCATGTGGGAGATGCTCCAGGCTCTTATCATTTTTGTGACTCTCAGCTGAACTACTAGGAGCCCTGAACTGGATGTGATATTCTAAATGTGGCCTCACCAGGGCAGGGTAGAGGGGGGGATCACTTCCTTTAACCTGCTGGCCACACTCTTTATAATGCACTTCAGGATACCATTGGTCTTCTTGGCTGCAAGGGCGCACTCTCAGCCAACCTGTTGTCCACCAGGACCCCCAGGTCCTTGTCTACAGAGCTCCTCTTTGGTAGGTCATCCACTTACCTGTACTGATGCATGCAGTTATTCCTCCCCAGGTGCAAGACTACACTTGTTTTGGTTAAATCTCATCAGATTCCTCCCTGCCCAGCTCTCAAGTCTGTCCAGGTCTTGTTGAATGATAGCACGGCCTTCAGGTGCATCAGCCAATTCTCCCAGCTTTTACATGATTTGTTTTATAAAAAATGCATGTGTGTCACACTGCTAGTACTGTGTGCCATACCCTCAGCTCTGTATCCCCTCTCATGTGACTTATGTGCCACTGTGTACAGCTATGTATTTTCTACACATTTATTTCACAGAGGTGTACTAATGGCTCATATTTTGGATACCAGCAAGCATCTCTATATTAACAATGTTTTTCTTACTGCTGCTTTAGCATGAATGACTGCAACAGTGTCTGCTCTGCTCAGTAGTTGCTGGTGCAGGAATCCACTCTGGGCAACCATTGTGAAAGTGTGCAATGATTGAAAGGAATCTAGAAGAGAATAGATAGAAGCAAGTTTGGAAGTCATGGTGCAAGAGGAAAAGCAAGGATCGAACAGCTACAGTGGAGGGAATAGTGCATGACATAACAATCTTCAGATATGTGAAAGACTGCTCACGAAGTTGAAGAAGTCACCTGTCCTCCTTGAACACACTGAACAGGCATAGAAATAATGGAGTTGAATGACAGGAAGGACATTGAGGATAGGGGTCAGGAAAGTTTTGGTTGCAGGCTTATGAGGCAGTGGAGGAGATCATTTGTGTTATCGGTTTGTGCACTGGTCATCAAAGAAGTGCCTGGACACGAGGACTTGTCAGCAATGAAAGAGCTGCACCATTTTTTCCAGTGGGCTGGAATGGTTAGCTGACCTCCTGAGACCATTCCCAACTCAGTAATTTTGAATTTCAGGTGTGTTATAAAGAAATACAAGTACCTAATTGCATAAATGTTCTGCCTCTTATTGCTTAAAACAAAAATATGAATTCATTTTCTGTTAAAACTATCAGCAAGTGCTGTTAGGAAGCCAGCTTTCGGTTATAATCCATTTTCAGTACAGGATTGCCATCTGGGAGTGCAAACTATTTGATGGATAGCACTTAAGCCAGCACTTAATTAAAAGCAATAATTAAAAAAAAATCATTAAGTAGGCCATCCATATTGAGAAGTAAGTACCTTACCACAGCAAGATGCCTTACTCAATACAATAGACCTGTATTTGTTCAGTATCTAAGTTACTTACTCATCCTCATTTTAGAGTACTCTTTTCAGTAGTCATTCTTTATGTTAGCAGGAAATGCTCTTCAGACATACTTTCTCCATTAGTATAGAGAACTGAAAACACTCCCCTCTGTAGATTTCATTCAAGAGACAGGACTTCTGCTACAAGCTTAGATCCACTGGTGTTTCTAAGAACCCAATTAGAAGTTTTGCTGTTGTCTAGTCAAAGTGAGTATCTGATTCACTGTAGTGTTGATACGATAGATCACTTTTTTTAGTATATGAATAAAGCTTTCATAGAATCATAGAATCATAGAACTGCTCAGGTTGGAAAAGACCATAAAGATCATTGAGGCCAAGTGCAACCTAACCGACCATACTACCCTAACAACTCTGCTAAATCATGCACCACATCCAAATGGTTTTTAAACAGAGCCAGGGATGGTGACTCAACCACCTCCCTGGGGAGCCTATTCCAGTGCTTAACAACCCATTCAGTGAAGAAGTTTTTCCTGATATCCAACCTAAACTTCCCCTGACACAACTTGAGGCCATTTCCCCTTGTCCTGTCACCTGTCACCAGTGAGAAGAAACCAGCCCCACTCTTGCTGTAAGCACCTTTCAGATATTGGAAGAGAGCAATAAGGTCTCCCCTCATCCTCCTCTTCCCCAGGCTAAACAGCCCCAGTTCTTTCAGTCTCCCCTCATAGGGCATATTCTCCAAGCCCTTCTCAAGCCCTGTTGCCCTTCTTTGGACCTGCTCCAGCACTTCAATGTCCTTTCTGTATTGAGGTGCCCAAAACTGAACACAGTATTCGAAATGAGGCCTCACCAATGCCGAGTACAGGGGAAGGATGACTTCCCTAGTTTTGCTCACCACACTGTTCCTGATACAAGCCAGGATGCCATTGGCCTTCTTGGCCACCTGCGGCACACTGCTGGCTCATATTCAGATGACTGTCCATCCAGTAGATGATCTTTGGGAGACCAGGTTCAATGTTTTGCTTACCTGTGCATTTTTGGAGTAATGACAGTATATAGGAATACATATGTCACCTCAAATTTCGTTTTTTTTCTGATTATCAGATGTTCAAAATAGGGCCGTGTCTTCAAGGTGCTAGAGGTGCTCTTAAAACCATGTGTTAAGTCTGTGCTTTCAGGTAGTTCTGAGAACTTCATATGCATTCTTCAAGCTCACATCTCACTGCAGGAAAACAGCAGCATCCACAGACTTCCATTGTGTCCCTAGCTTCACGTCATTGTAATTAGACAAAAGATTTGGGTGATGTCTGGTAGGTATCTTCTGACTTCCCACTAGTTGTCAATTTAGGTTTTTATTATTAAAAAAAAGAAAAAAAAAGAAAAAAAAAGAAAACACAACAACAAAACTTTTAGAAAACTGCTCAGAAAATTATTTTCAAATGTACCAATAAAATAAAGCTAAAACATTTCAAAGAAATGAGAAAAGTGCTTTATGATTAGAAAGGCTCAGACATAGGGGATTTATTTTTGTGCCACTAGAGACACAAAAACTGGGGACTACTGGTGCATTTTTCATTTTCTGGGGAACTCAAAGTATCAGCTATTCTTTATTCTTGCTCATTCATACATGAAGAACCAAAGCAACAGCTGTCATAATGTTATCATTCCCCTGGCAAACCTGCTCAGGCAACCATATTCTCATGCCACTGGAGCAGTGGTGCAAACCAATGTAGCAGTACAAAGAGAGTCATTTGGTTTTATACACTCAGCCAGATAAGTGCTGCTGCTGAAATGAATCATGGACATTTCCAAGGCTGTTTAGCTCCCTGGATTTATACCATTGGATAGAACCATGGCTGCATGGTTTAGAGATGTGGTTCAGACCAAAGGAGTGATACAGTACTGTTTTATCATGACAGAAATGTCTGGAACAACTGAATGATAGTGACATATGTGTGAACTACTGTCTTTACCAGTGCTCCAGCTTGTATTTGCCTTGTATGATACCACTGACTGAAGAAACATTTCATTATTTCATGATACAGTATAGAAAAAAAAAAAATCTGGAATGCTGAAATACCCAGCATGTCTGTTGTGGGAGTTGAAAAATTTGCTTCAGCAGAAAGCCAGCTGTTAAAAAACCTCTTTTATAATCTGTTTTCAAGATCTTACATACTCCTTCATGTTGAAAGATATGATGCTATGCTGAGCTGATTTTTTAGTCACATCATCCATCTCTAACACTATTGTATATAGAAAAAGGCCAGGATGTACATCCCCAAGCTGTCCTTTTCAAATTGCATTAATCCTCTTCTAAGAGAATCTTAGAAGAATCTTTCAATTGTAAATTTCTGGGATTTCTGGCACATTGTATTTCAAAAAATTTTAGGTTTTTTGATCGAAATGACTCTCCTAGGTCTCATGTGATAGAATAGGTTAGAAAAAGACAGATAGGACACAGAGAGAGAAAATGTTTTTTTTCATGCTTTCATGCTTTCCAGCATCAAAAAGATTTGATAAGTCAGAGGTTGCATTTAGCCTAACATGTTCAACAATCTTTCTTGACACTGCAAATCCATTTTCTGTTTCAGTGTCCAGAACACTTGTGCAAGGTTCTCCACAAGCTAACTGCACTGGGTGAAAGATAGCATGCAGTTTTGTTAAATCTTCCTTCATTCATGTGCTGTGATTGCTGAATAGTAGATCCGATTCATGTTGCCAAAACCACTCAAGGTTTTGCTGGCGTCTGTCCTACTACAGTTTCTATGGAAATGTTCAGTGTCAATAGTTCAATTTTTCATATACATCCAAGTTTTGTGAGTAATACACTATATCAAAAGTTAAAATTAATGAGTTAATAATTTCATCATTTGTCTATTGCAAATTTTGTGCTCAGTGCAAGCCTGTGAGCCCTCAGTTCCATTGCATTCAAAAGCAGAAATAATTTGTAACATAAAATCAATTCCCTTGGCGTAGATCAAGAGTGACTTCCCTAAAATAACTGTGGTAATGGCTAGATTCTTTGTTGAATTTTACCCTTGGGTTCATATGAAGCAGTGCTCTTCAGGAGCAGTTGTGGTTCCTTCACAATCTATCTGAAGTTTGTCAGTCTTTCATCCACTGCTGTAACCTAAGTCTAAAAGTAAAAGTGAGAATAAGTAAAACCTAGAAATACTCTAGGCAAATCTCTTCTGTTTCTTTTGGTGAGTGAAGTAAGAGCTTATTAGAACAGATTTATTCCCTCTGGGGATATTCTGCCTTTCTTGTGGAAATGATCCAACCAAAACCAGCCAGATCTCACTTTCTTTGAGCTAGCTCCATAGAACAGACAGATCAGAAGAAGACACACAGTTTAGTCCTCATTGTGTGAAAACAGTTTAAGAGAGTAGGTAACCTAGACTAAGTTAAGAAAGCTGTTCTCAGTATCTTTGAACACTACCCACTTTCAAAATCTATTTATTTTCTTGCCTTTTACAATGTGGTAGGAAGTAAAAAGAAGAGTAGCTGGGGAGGTAGTTCTGTAGAGCAGCCTACACACATGAGCAGTGTTATTTTCAAAGGCTAACTTTACATGCACTGACTGCATAGGCAGGCACGTTTCCTACTGAAATTGTAATGGAAATGGACGTTTATATATAAAACAGAGTTTAGGGCACAGTATATGTAGTGTTAGGCTGAACTGCCATGTTTTCATTTTTAGTAGACTGGGAAAGGGATTAATAAGAATTTTCAAATTTTTTATTTGAATATTACACCAAATACAACAAATTCTTCACAGATGACTAAAAGATATGCAATCAGACCTGATCGTTGGCCTACCTATTGAATTTTTTAGAAGATATTATTTCATTCACCTGTCACTGAACAGATACAACCCAGGAATGCCAAAGAAGATTACATATAAGTATGAAAAGAAAAAATGCCTTTTTTCAGATAGGACCATGGCTTGTTACTCTGAAGGAAAGTCCCAGTATCTTAGCATACATAGCAACCTCATTCAAAAAAAATCACAAAGAGATGAGAGTGAAGTCATTCAACACAGGAGGAGATTTAAATCAATCAAGCTGAGATTAAAATCTGCATTATCAGAAACAAGATCAAATTTTGTACTGAAAGAGCTTTTCAGTCCTCACCAAAAGAGACTACATTTTTTGGATATTAAATACTTGCAATAGTATTTCTGCCCAGAATGACTTGTTTTATTCAGTAGCTAAGCTTACTCCTTGATCCATCAACTAGCAATGCTTTTGGTCTGCTTCTTACATACACTTGAAATTGCTTACCCTTCAGATGAGATCTTTTAATAAGGCATGTGTTACTTCCTTTCTGCTAATAATTCACATAAAATTTCCAGCCTTTATATCCCTGTTGTATTCATTCTTTCATGCATTTTGTTCTAGTGACTACTTTGCACTGTTTATGTTTTTTCACTTATTTCTCCTGTGTTACTTACTATGCAAACTTTTGCTTTCCATTAAAACCTGACTTATTTTTGTAGCTATGTGTATACTGAGTTGCAAGTGCTTTCCTTACTACATTCTAGGATTATGATCTCAAGTCAACAGTGCAAGAACTTGGTTTGACCAACATGTGAATCCTGTCTGTCTTGCATATCCTTTTTAGGGAAGCTGAATTGTGGTTGAATAGGAGGTGTATCAGTATGGATTTGGGGTATGGTTAGGGTTCACACTTGAACTATAGAGACTAATTTTTTAACAGATCTCACAGTTCAGATTCCCTTGGTATAGATCAAGAGTGACTTCCTTAACATAACAGTGAAACTGTTGAAGAAACTGTTTCTTGAATCTTTGAACATTCATTGTACTATGCAACACACCATGGTCTTCTGGGGGCATACTGGATAACAAAATGATCATGTTTTCATAAGCTTTAATTCAGCATTTATTTTTCCCACTTATAAAAGGATAGAAAGCGTAACAGCCAACAGCAAGAATATCTTCTTTAAAAATGATGCAATCAGTTCCAGTGTATTAAAGTATTAGTTAATACATATAAATCAGTAGCAATCTGAGTAACAATTAATATAGAAAAATAACTATTTTGCATAAAACTGTTGTTTTTTAATAACTTGTATAACACCATGAAAGTATAGACATTGCAGTTATTTCTGACAGAATATTTATTGAGTGATAC